CTGCACGAACCAGTCTGTGCTCTGAATCAGCCACAAATCTCTTAATAGTGCGATGATCACGCTTAAGTTTTCGTGAAATATCTAATGTTTTCATACCTCGTCCAAGGCATTGAACTATTTCACTCTTTTCGGCAGCAGAGAGATCCTTTTTCTTCCCCATATTGCATGAAAATGGTGCTCTGCCTAATAATGTGGAACACCCTTCTAGTAGTTTTTCCTTAAATTGGGCTCACCTGGCAATCTAATTATCACAGGTGTCTGAGATTGTTTTCAGTGATCAAAAGAGCCCTGAGACACAATACCATCCATGAGTTAAACTGAAAAACAAAATATTTAATCTTTGTGACACTTAAATAGAATTTGCGTAATAATTTGGAACAGGGCGTATATATCATAAAAAATTTTATATGAGAATATTATGAAAAAAAGAAAAATAATAATTAAAAAAAGTTTTTTAATAATATAATTAATAAAAAATATTATATCGAGACACTACTCAGAAAAAAAGTAGAATTCCTTTTTGGAACAGTTTTGAATGGATGGAAATGTGGGATGTGCTATTTAAAAAAAAAAAAAAAATTACGTTTTGCATTTAGTTATTTTGAAACATGGTTAGAAGTTTCCAAAACAGAATCTATTTTGTCGCGAGACAGTTACAGGTTTACAGATAAGAATCTTCATTGAATCTTCATTTTACCCGACATGTCCCTATTGGCGCCTAGTTACTCAGTCCTATATTTAAGTGGGTACAAATTAGTCTCTATCCCCCTTCAGACTCAGGGAGCTGGGACAGTAATTTCCCAGAATGTCTTAGTAATATTCTCTCTGAAATCTCAGAAAATCTGCAGCATTGAAAAGTTAGATTAAGTTTTCCATCTAAGCCTCACAATTCTTTTACCTCGAAATACAGAACCAGCCCTGCTTTTTTATAATATTATATTTTATAAATGTTCTATCCTGGGGGGCGGAGCCAGCAGCCATACAGAGCAGACGTGTGCCAGCAGAGCTCCGCAGAATTAAGCCTGAAATAAGCGATTTAACCACCTGAAACACTCCAACCTCAGCCTCTATCGGGTCACAGTGAGATGGGGAAGAAGACAAAACACCAGGGAACCCCGAGACCGACAGGGGCACGAGACATTGGGGATCTTCTCCTCCGACCTGCACAGGCCCCAAACCACGCCACGCCAAAAAAAAAAAACATGGCGATACGGCCTCGGCCTCCTCCGAGGACCAAGCAATGGACGAGCTGGATGAATTCCCGAGCTCAGGGGGCTTACACCTCCCGTCCTCCGACGAAGATAGCGAGCTGCCCTCCACGAAGGGGGATATCAAAGCCTTGCTCCGCAACCTCCGCGAAATGTTTTCCGCAGATGTGGCCACACTGCGAGAAGAAATACAAACAGTAGAGGGGCGCGTCAAAACAACAGAGGGAGAAACGAAAGACCTCTCCACCCGGTGTACACAACTGGAAGCCCAAAACACAGAGATGCGGCGCGCTCAGTCTCAACTCACCAGCCGCCTAGACGCACTAGAAGACCAGCACAGGAGCAGAAATGTAAAAATCCGGGGTATCCCGGAGACTGTGGCCTCAGGCGACCTGACACACTACGTCGGGAGACTGCTCGTCTCCCTGCTCTCAACACAACAAGCACGCCTAACTGAGATAGATGGGACCTACCGCATCCCGAGAGCCGCCACAGCACCAGCAGACACCCCACGGGATGTCATCCTGCAGCTACGAACACGGGCAGCCCAACTGACCCTTAAAAACAATACAAGAAATGGTGGATTGGCGCTATAGAGCCAGAGAATATGCAACTACCCCCAGTGCCCAAAATCACTAAATGGCACTCAAATACAAAGTGATAGAAAAAAGAATATAAGGGGGGTGCACATAGAGCAATAAGAAGGTATATTATACTTAATATAAGTAGAACACTTCCTGTTAGACCTAAGACCTGTAGAGCCACATAAAGCTGGCTCTAGCTTAGCTTAGATTTATCAAAGACCTGGAGGTCGAAACGCGTTAGTGCTGTGTATTTCGTTATGTTATTTTAGCTTTTTCTGTATCCTTTATTTTAACCAGTAAAGTCACTTTTTGATTATTGACACTGGATGTCCTGGAAGTTATTAAAGGGTGGAGAAAAGGAGCAGAGCTATTTGGAAAGCTGAAAATCGAAAGCCAGAATAAGCTTATTATTCACCTGCCATCTAAGCTAGAGCCAGCTTTATGTGGCTCTACACACTGTGAGTGACCCAATACCTGAGACCAATTAATGTTCTGTATATAACAGTGTTACACTATATATGTGTTTTTCTATTATAGGTCTAACAGGAAGTGTTCTACTTATATTAAGTATAATATACCTTCTTATTGCTCTATGTGCACCCCCCTTATATTCTTTTTTCTACAACTGACCCTTATGACTGCCGTGAGAAACAAGGCAAATTACCCATTTGAAAATGCTACCTTATCCTTTTATCAGGACTTGTCCAGGCCCACAGTGATATGGAGAAGCCGGCTCAAGCCACTAACAGCCACGCTCCGTCAACACTCTATCCCATATCGATGGGCATTCCCTAGGAGCCAGGTCATCTCTCATGGGGGCGCAACAACCCGCCTAATGGACCCAGCGGAAATGGACTCAGTACTGACCGCTCTGGGGCTACCGACGAACCCGGTTAGCACCACCCAAGCCCCGAGACGACAACCCCCTCACTTCTGGGACATGGCCAAAGTCCAAGCATTCCAGCCCTCTGGGGCCTCCACCTTGCCCTCCACCGCATTTAAAGCACAGAGGGCCGGCCACCACGCGATGGGTACCTGAGATCCGGAAAGGGGCACGGGAACATCAAGCCAAACAGATTGCTTAACCATAATAACGCCAAGTTCATAGACCTCATCTGAGACTCCCCACTTAAATTTTTTTTTTTACTCGTTTAATTTATAGCACAGACGCCGGGAAAAGCCATGCACAGTTGCCGCGACCCATCTCAACCCACCAAGCCACATCACGGCACCAAGCCCCATCGAGACACTAGCGGACTTCTGCACCCCAGGATCGACAACCTACCAGAAGTGGGATTGGGCTTAAACAGCTACAGGCAGGTCCAGAGGGGACAGGCCGTACTATGGGGACATGAGTTGAACTGTCTTGCAGCTACACCAGAAGCACCTACCTAAATTGCTTTAGCGGTTTTATTGTTATTTTATTGCTTTATTATTTTATTCCTTTAATTAGCTTATTGTTTACCTTAATTTTGCTGTGAACTCAAAAGCATATAAATGTTCTATCCCTACCTAAGAAATACAGGTCCCATTTACTCTGTAATACACTTTTGATAAAGCCCATTCAAGGTGAAACACGTTAAGTGTACTGTTATACTGTTTTATACATTTATTTTATCTGTTAACTTTGATTTGATTGTATTTATTAATAAAAGTACTTTTTTTTTACTAGTCCTGGCGTTCTGCTGCTGATTTGCTGTGCTGTAAATCCCTGGTGGGTATAATACCACCTAAGTCTATTGGATTGAGCAAACCTCATTTTGCTCTAATGCATGTGAGTAGGTTTTTACTACTTTTATTACCTTTTACACTCTAATTTTATTGCACGCACTATTGTGGCTTTTACTTTACTTTTATACATATATATCTATCTATATCCACGCAGGATACTACATCACCTATATCCTAGAGTGGGAAATCATACTACTTTACGTGCTATTTCTGGAGCCATTACTTTGAGTGTTCACCTATCTGTATACCTACCCTTGATTATTAGCTCAACATCCTACACTCTATAGTTTTATTTGTCTTTTATATTTCTGTGAGGATACCTATTGCCACATGGACAACCTGAAGCGACTGCTCCATACTACTGTATATTCATAGGCTTTAGAAAAATAGAAGAAAGAAACCGCGCCCAAATATTATGTACAGAACTTGATACATACACACAGGGCCGGCCTTAGGCCTTTAGGTGCCCTGTGTGAAACATATTCGCAGCGACCCCCCCCCTCCCCTGTCATCTATGTATAGTGTGTGTATAGAAGTGTAGCGATTGTATAGGGGATTTATTAAATAAATATTGATTTAAAAATAAATATTCATTACACACACAGAGTTACAGGCAGATTGTCACACACACACAGTTACAGGCAGACAATTACAAACACACACGTACAGATGGACAGTCACGTGCATACAGCCAGCCAGTATAACACACACACCGTTACATGCAGACAGCCACACACACACAGGCAGACAGTCACACACCCACACAGGCAGACAGTCACACACCCACACACACACACACACACAGACGGACTGCCACACACACACAGGCAGACTGCCATACACACACACACACACACACACACAGGCAGACGCCACACACACACACACACACAGGCAGGTGACTGCTATACACACACACACACACACAGGCAGACTGCTATACATAGACAGACAGCTACACACACACACACAGGCACAGGCAGACAGTCACACACACAGGCAGACAGTCACACACACACAGTGGCAGACAGCTGCTACACAGGCAGACAGTCACACACAGGCAGACAGCCACACACACACACAGGCACAGGTAGATACAGTCACACACACACACACATATATACAGACAGGCAGAGAGTCACACACACACACACAGACAGACAGTCACACACACACACACACACACAGGCAGTCACACACAGCCAGACAGTCACATACACACACATGCAATCATATTAACTGCAGACAGTCACACACACACACACACACACACACACAGCAAACAGGGTCAAACATAGACACAGGCAGACTGCCACACACACACACACACAGACAGGCAGACTGCCACACACACACACAGGCAGGCAGTCACACACACAGGCAGACAGTCACACACACACAGGCAGACAGTCACACACAGGCAGTCACACACACAGGCAGACAGTCACACACACACACACACACACAGGCAGACAGCGTCACACACACACATGTAGACAGTCACACCCACACAGGCAGACAGTCACACACACACACCCAGTCACACACACACAGGCAGACAGACACATACACACACACACAGGCAGTCACACACAGGCAGACAGTCTCACACACACACACACACAGGCAGTCACACACAGGCAGACAGTCACACACACAAACACAGACACACACAGGCAGACAGTCACACACACACACACAGGCAGACAGTCACACAGGCAGTCACACACAGGCAGACAGTCACAAACACACACACACACACAAACAGGCAGTCACACACAGCAGACAACCTCCTTCCTGCTTCCCATGCAGCAATTGCCCGGTCTGGCACTTCTAGCCCCGCCCGCCATCATTTAGCCCCGCCCCCATGCACGCTAAGCCCCGCCGCAATGCTTTTGTTGTTTTTTTTTTAATCCCAGGTGGAGAATAATGAAATCCTCCACCCGGGCAGCCGGCAATATGTGAGCTGTGTCAGCTGTCAGGGCACCCCCTGCTCCAAGGCGCCCTGTGTGGCCGCACAGCTCGCACACCCCTAAGGCTGGCCCTGCATACACAGGTCTCTTAGAGTTATATATGCATTAGACTTTAAAAAGAACAGAAGAAACAATAATAGTGTAGTAAATAAGTTTAAGTGGGACTCAATCTTATTTACATTGTTTTTATTGTTTTTTGTATGGTAAATAAATAGTGTATTTTATACTTATATTTTAACTTTTATTTTTCCATCCAATACTTCCTGGCATCACCCTATTCCTGGGTGGGGATTATACCACCAGCGCTGTATATACCAGAGCAAGTTCTGCTCTGGTAAATGTGAGTACATTATATTATTTATTTTACTCCATATTCACAAATATTTATTTCACCATTGGAGCATCTTTTGCTGTATTTACTCCTATACATGTTCCGGACACTGCACTCCATTTGAGCCATTGGGAACTCCTATATCACCATATATCCTTAGACAGGGATTGTTCGTCCATGCGCTGAAACAGCTGAGCTCTGAGATAGCTCAATCAAATGTGAGTGTAATCACATAAGATCACACATCACTCACTTATTGTACATACTGTACTGCACTATTATTGTTTCTTCTGTTCTTTTTAAGGTCTAATGCATATATAACTCTAAGAGACCTGTGTACGTATCAAGTTTTGTACATAATATTTGGCGCGGTTTCTTCTCTTTTTCTAAGTTCCATTACTCACAAGGGTGGGAATCCTGTTTTACTTACTGCAGCCCAGTTTCACCCTGTATTATACTGTAGTGAGCGCCTATTATTTTTTTCTTTCACATTCTGTATCCATAGGCGTTGATCTTCTGCCCAGGTGTTCAAGTCAGAGCTGTATTCAAGCTCCCTGAAAGTGTGAGGGCACAATTTTATTGATCCAAACTCCATTAAAAAGTTTTTAACCTGCTACACTATCAGTCCTTTATTTTTTGCCTTTTTGTCATAGCATACATTTCCTAAAGGACATTTCAGGTACGATGCCTTCTTTTCCTATTTTATTCTACTCCTATTGGACAAGAAAGACTGCGCTTTTGGTGATAAAGCTGCCTTGTACTGGCGCAGATTTTTCCCCTGTTTTTATTTATCATATTGTTGCTAACATTTTTTCAGAGTCCTGTTGCAGAATAAGAGCTTGAGATTATCAAATGGGATTGCTTTGCCGAGCATCACCAAGATTTCTACTAGAGGTTTCAGTAACTCTGTCCGTTTAATTGTGAATCATATTCCCAACATTTACAATGGTTCTAGGAGTTAGATCGTGTGCCGTTCTCCAATAATTTAATAAGCATACCTCTCTGTGACTCAATCTTTTCCCTCATAAATGCTGATACATGCTCGTGTTGGGTTCTTCTCCCGGTAGACATTTCACTTGAGGACACTTAAACCTTTTTACATCTTAAACTTTGCAATAAAGTGATCTGTGAAGGCTTGCCCCTATACCAGCTGTGGCAGACCTTTACACAATGGGTATCAATTCCCTATTCACCACCCAGAATCAGGATTATTTATCATCTCAAAACAGAGTACAGATTCTTTGTGTTTCTGGGAACACGTGCATGAAATCATTATTAAGTACAGTATATTTTTTGCAATTGCAGATGTCTAGATAGACCGCTATCGATCTGAATTCCAATGATAGTCCATTCCATTAAAAGAGCCCACAAATGTTTACAGTGCCTTTTAAACAAAATGGTTACATTTTCTAGAACAGATTAAAAATTCTGAATGTCAAAAGTGGAGAAGGAAATTAATTGAAAGCCAGCAAAAGTTTGGAAACGTAGCCTCTGAGACAAATCAGTTACATTCACATTGTCCTAATTAACATGGATGAGATGAGACATCTTCTACTGCAAATACAAGGGGATTATTCATGTGGGAAGATAGGTGCAGACAATTTGCAGGTGGTACCCATGGAATTCACTGTATTCCGAGCAATTTAGAGCTCTGCGGACTGCCTTGACTAGATTCTTTATTGTCTCCACCGGAGACCGAATACACCCACCTTCCTTACATTTACTATTTTTGTTTTTCGCCTTCTGACTGCCTGCTTTGCCTCCTCTTTCTAATGCCACTGACCTCAGTTTGCAATTTAGAAATCACAATAAGAATGTAAATACTATAATTTATAATCAGGATAAATACTTTGCTCTATTAGTTTCCTGCGGCCTGCAGCTGATTAACTGGTTGGCAGAATAAAAAATCACTTGATTTATTTTAAGGTGATACCTTCTCGCAGTTCAGTTTAATGAAAGGGTTTAAACTTATTCTTTATCAACAGCCAGCAATTATTTCACTATGGAGTATTTATTCTGCTGTGTCTGTAACCCAGACTAGGCAAGGATAAAATGGATAGCTTTACAGTCATTTGCAGACACAGCCTCAGTACGAATAGAGGAGACATAATTCTCGTCATTCCATGCTCTCGCATTTAGCCCTTTCAGAAATGTGAGCAAAAACAATGGCTTTAAATTAACTCTTTAAAGGCAAGTGTGTCATTCAAAAACCCATGTTTTTCTATGTATGGATTTGCGGGTTGGTTTCAATGTTTCCTAGTGTCACCATTGTGAGCTCCAGGGTCACGGCTGTGCGTTAGAGTGCATGTATCAGTCACAATTCATGGTCCTCATGCTTTACATGTGTTATGGGTCCTGCAATGAGTCAAGCTCAAGGTGGTTATTATGTTGCCTGAATTCCAGTATTCAGTATCTTTCTTCCTGCTGTTTTTGATTGAATTCTGCCCCTATGACTACGATTCACATTGCCTGCCCTGACCTTCAGACCAGACCTGACTATTACATTGCTTTGTGCCTTGTAGAATCTCACACCTTGGACTCTTTACCTCCCAGGCACATTTCAGTTTGGATTATTTGCCCTTATGTTGACCAAAAAATTCCTTGCACCTTGTACCCATTCCAGGCCTTTCCACAGAGCGTTACTTTGTAGCGCGTAAGATTCTCCACACTTGAATTGCTAGCTCTACACTCAAGAACCAAGACCTTAAGGAACACTGTCTGTGGCACCCAAAGACCCTTTGGAAGCTAGACATTTTACCTACGTTTTACACTCATCATCCATTCTTTTACTACTAATACACGGGAAATGGAAAATGTGCAATGCTTCAAAGCAATACTGGAAAATGAGAGCTGATTTCCTGAGTGGTGGTGGAGCATCTAACAAAGACCATGGTAAAGGGGAGAAATGTTTGTTGCGGTTTTGCTCTCCCCGGCATTAGTGCTGGAATCTAGGCCATATCTACATTTCATGTACCTTCTCAGGCCCCAATATCTCCTTCCAAAAAAACGAAATAATCACTTTTTCTGTTGTTTACGGAGGATGCACAAGAGGTTGTATCTCTCCCGGGCCTAAAATTAAAAAACAAGTACAGAATAAGTAAATACAGTGCAGCCATTAATAGTGGCAAAACAATAATACAAAACAAACAAAACTAATTTAAAATATATACTAAAACCAAACGAGGGTGACAGCACAGACAAAACCACACCACAAATATACACCGTATACATTGAGAGGGTACTTTAAATACTAGTACTGGTGTTGCTACTGGTGCAATATTTATTTTTGGGCTAAAAGTTATTTTTCTGATTGTAGCTTTTAAAGCACTGCTTTTATTGATATATTTTTATTTTATGTGAAACCCGCATTAAAGAATTGCTAAATGCCCCTCATTCAGAAAAAGTTATCCTGTAGCTGAGTAATGGTGGATTGTGGGGGTTTGGAAGCAGTGTATGCGTATGCTGCTGTGTAGCTAGTGTGAGCCTAGTGAAAGCTCAGTAGTATGTGAGTGCTATACCTTCTTATTTAGGAGCCTGAATCACAGGTAAAATACCACCCACGAGAATTTATTTTGTGTCTACAGATTTTGCCCTGTCTTGAACCTGACAATGAAATATTGACCATTTATTTGTGTATAAGTATTTAAATACCATCTCAATTTATAATTTTTGGTGTTGATTGCACTGATTGGCTCTTATTTGTATTTTGTGCTCTACAAGTGGCCTAGACACCGACAGATGCATAGCAGAACCTATTTCTACCACTATATTAGCGCCAACTACACACAGGGCATTTTGGGTATTTTTGGGGTATAATTTAAAACATAGCTATTGTCTCTACAATGAAATAACATCCTGGTTTTACAGACACCCTCACGATAACGAGTTAACAAACTGATTCAAAATATCTGCCTTAATTGTTATATAACTGCTTTTTTTTAATGAAATGTTTGTATGTTATCAGAATTGAGTTTCGAAATGAGCTATTGTATCTATCTGAATGTAGAATATCATTTTCACAGAAACTAATTGGAAACCTGTTCTGTAACAAGGTAGTTAATATTTCCATTATACTGAATGCGCAGTACATGAAATGCACCTTTATCTTGTACGGTTTCGTGCACTACCGTTATTTATTATAAATGAAATTAAAACTTCACAAAATTCGAGCCATGCGTTCTGTGATAGTTATAGAATAAAAATTATTATTCTGCAAAATTAAGGTTTACTCAGAATGTTCATTATGTTGATCCGGTTGTATTTATTACAAAGACATATTACAGACATCAGAAATGTCTGCTCCCATTTCAGATAAGGATTTTGACTTGCATTGCGCTGGATGGCTGGTTCGCAAACCGTCAGAAGTAGGCAGCTTGATTAACGTGGGAATGATTGATGTCTGCGATTTTCCTACCACTTGCTGTGTCTGTACATTAGATAATGTCAGGGGCAGTTTTTGCTTTGTTTCTCGTGGAATATCTGATATTAGGAATACATTTGGCAGTTACTAATAGACACGCTAAAGTTCTCCCAGTGCTGCGTCTTTTCCAAGATAACTTGTAAAGGTAGAGGCACTTGTTTTGATATGGGGACACTGAGACACTAAGGGACATTGGGAGACATTATGACAGACACTTGGGGACACTGGGAGATTTGGGGATACTGAGACTAATTATGCAACTTAGTAAGGCCTGTATGTTTTTCCAAGAAAGCTGGCAACCCTAACTACTTTTCACATACTCTTGCTTAGGTATGGAAACTTAAAAGGTATGTATGGGAACAAAACTTGTGTGGACTGGCTGACAATGAAATTAGTTAAAAAGGGCACTGTAGTCATCAGAACAACTACAGCTTAATGTAGTTGCTCTAATGAGTATAATCATTGCCCCTAGGGATACCTCCAAGTGGCCACTCCTCAGATGACCACTGGAGGTGCTTCCTGGTGCAGTGCTGCACAGTAGGCAACAGTGCAGTTCAGCGTCTCCACGCACTGCATGGGGACACTGAATTTTGATTCAATGCATCTCTATGAGGAGGTGCTGATTGGCCAAAACGGTGTTTGGCCCTGTCCCCTTGCCGATTTCAGCCAATTGGCTAAAAATCTGCAGTTCTGATTATGTCACCAAGGAGGCGGAGGTAGCGCCGGCGGACCCGCACGGTTCTCGAATTAAGGAGAGTTTTAATTCCTTCTAAGGGGGCTAAGGGGGGTGGGGGGTCAATTCACCTAAATGGTGGGCTAAGCACTATAGGGTCAGGAATACATGTTTGTGTTCCTGACCCTATAGTGTTCCTTTAAGGTAATGCTGACTTTGGTCTCTCTAACACTGTGGCATGTTCCCTTTCTTCTACCCTCACTACATACAGCCTTTCTCTTCCCAGACTATATACCAGGAGCTTCTGCCTGCTAGTAAGAAGGTAAGGAGACAAGTGGACCAGCGAGTGCTAGGGGACAGTTCTTATAAATCATTCAGCGAGCACATCATTAGACGCATTTATGCCAAGCTCAGGATGCTGTCTGCATAGTATGCCCTTAGTTGGCCAGCTTGCATTCATGCCAGGCATGCCCCCTTTTTGGGCATGTTCGCCCCTTTCAGCCAGTTATGTGATTTGCGTCAGTGGCACAAAGTTTTACCCTGTCCATAGACTTCCTGCTTCACTGCACACTGCTGTTAGGGGTTATGGATTTACTTGAAAGATGAAAACATAAATTAGAGAGAGATTAGCATAGGGTATGTGTTTTCTTATAGCTTCTATTTTCTTTCCCTCCAGCACCTTCTCAATCAGATACATGCTTGGGAGTGTTTTAGCGGTTTTGGTTGATAAGATTCTGTAATTAGGCCCATCATAATTGTCAGCACCAGGCCCACTGTGCTCTTAATCTGGCCCTGGGTAAGAGGTTTGTCTGATTTTAGCCTCAACATATAGACAAATCCTTTGACAAATGCCTTTGATATTGTGTATTGAACACCACTTCTTGCCATATTCTACTTGGGACAGGAGGGTGTACAAGGGCATGAGAGGGCTTTATAGATTGGGCATACACAAATGACATCTTCCTGGTTCGATGGTACAGGAGGTGAGATACTTAATACACAAACCCCAAAAGTAGTAGAAACAGACAGCACAGATAGTCCATATCCTCCTGAGACCCAGCCCATTAACTTGTGTCCTCTGTACTGGACATTTTGTTCACATGAACCTCCTTTTATTTTTTTGAGCTGCTCTATCAGTCCCTGTTGTATTGTAAAGAGGACATCCTAGGCTTTCCATTGATATGTCATATGATAGGCTGGGATGCTGGGAACGTCCTCTTCCTTTTCATCAAAAATGGATGGCATATTGGAAGACAATTTTTTGCCACGTTCCCAGGATGATATTACTCATCCTTTGAAGGTCAGGGGCAGGAGAAAACAAGATAAATAGAGCAGAGGAGAGATATCAGGATAACTAAGTAAATAGCCATGGTCAAAAGTAACAATCACAACTACAAAGAAACACGCTATTGGATTACCAAAAACCACAACATGGCACCTTGGCAAAGGCAGGAGGCGTTTGAATACTTAAAGGAATAAAACCATTGGTTTGCATCAATCTTGTGCGCCAGAAGGCACATGAACGGCTTACACGCAGGTTTCATCACCAATCAGCCAACATTAATGCTACCTATGCTTAGAATGAGTCACATCAAAATTGACACCGGAATGATGCAACTCTTTAGGAACATGCAGCAGGAATAATGCGACTTTGCGCAAACACTTGGGGTTGAGTCAGTAATGACTCCAGAGTGACGCGACCCTGAACCAAGTGTTTGTGTGGTTATAGCGTTCTGTGGCAGGAATGACGCCAAGTGGGGTGAGATGGCCCCATCACGCGTGAGGGACCGGAAGGCATCTGGGCACTTAAGGATATGGAAAAACTGGTGAGTACAAGTGCTCAATATCTCTAATTAGCAGCAAATCACCAACAAGGGGTTATCTCCACCCTTGTTAAGTGTATAGTAAAGATAACAGACAGGAGGTGATCAGCACTTAAGATTATATATACATACGATACAGATGATGTTCTTAGTACAAAATTCAATACAAAAAGTACAAAATTCTGTTTCTTGCTTTGTACTTATAGATTCATATACTAAGAACATCATCTGTATCATATATATATAATCTTAAGCGCTGATCCCCTCCTGTCTGTTATCTGGGTACGTAAGGTCTAAAATAGGAACACTAAATGCAATATATTGGTGCTATAGATAACATTCCTGCTCCATTTCATTTAATCTGCTCTCTAAGAGAAGAAATATGACATCACATCCCTGTGCCAACATCTGTTATACAGAACGATGTAGAATTTCTTTTTTAAATCTGTGCCTTTGGGGCACCTATCTCCTGGTCCCCTGCTAGACCACACAAATGAAAGAGTGGAATTGTGTACTTGGGTGGCATTGAACCCGTGTTCTTTGACCTGCTGACGTAACTCCTGACTGATCTTCCATCAAAGAGATGTACATTGCAGCTGTTACGAAGTCGGTAGTCCCCTGTAATGCCGTTTATGCCTGACTACTCCTCTGGCAGACACTGCAATGGGTTATAAATATACATGTGCAGTTCATTTCGGTCTGAATTTAAATTCGGACGAATTTTGGCAATTCGGACATTCGGATGCTTCCGAATGTCCGAATTGCTGAACCGAAGTCCCGAATTGCTGAATTTCAGAAGTGCCAAATTTCCGAAGTGCTTCGGATTTGTGAAAAGTGGCAAAACAGGAAAGGGAAGGAAAATTAAGGGAATGATAACAGGAATCTAACCCTGCCCCTTACTGCAACCTTCCTCTAACCCTACTCCTAACCCTTACCCCAACCTTCCTCTAAACCTAACCCTACCACTACCCCCAACCCTTAGGCCA